AAAAAAAACGAAAACAAAAGGTAAAAGAAAATGAAACGACATGCCAGAATGAAAAATGAAAAATATGATAGAAAAAAAAAAACAACAATATACGAAACAAAACAACAATGTATGAAAAAAAAAAAGAAAAAACACGAAAAAAAAAAAAAAAAAAAAGGTGGCCGGACACAAATCGACACGGAAAGGCTATCGACGGCGGGCGCGTCGAAATATTCATCCGCATCGACGCCCGCTGTGTACCCGGCCCTGTGGGCGTGCTCTTGTGTTTAGTGGCGCGCTGTGAACAATTCGGTACGCGCGCCACTTTGCACGCCCACCCGCCTTTAATTGCCTTCATCCGACGGCCCGCGCCGAAACTTCGACCCCAAATCCAGCGCGCAGCGGACCATCGACCTCCCCCTCGAGGCCAATGCTGCTTAAGGGGTAGGATATGTATATATATATATATATTTATTTATTTATTTATTTATTTATTTATTTATTTATTTTTTTGCTAGGACCTTCAGTGGTCCTTGCACGGCCGGGTCGTCCGGGAATCTAGGTTGGCCCTGGAGGCCCGGCTGGTAGCCTAGCTAGTTACGGTATTTTAAAAATTGCTTTAATGGTGTTCAGTTGACTTGACCACCAGTTAACTTGCTCCACGTGTGCCCTTAGACCACCAGTTAAAAAAACATCGCTCAGCAGAGCCACAACGTTTCCACTTGGATGAATGCCCATCGACCTCCCCCCCGCGGCCAATGCTGCTTAAGGGGTGGGATATAATATATATATATATATATATATATATATATATATATATATATTTATTTATTTATACTAGGACCTTCACTGGTCTTTGCACGGCCGGGCCGTCCGGGAATATAGGGTGGCCCCGGCGGCCCGGCTGGTAACCTAGCTAGTTACGCTATTTTAGACATTGCTTTAATGGTGTTCAGTTGGCTTAACCACCAGTTAACTTGCTCCACTAGTGCCCTTGAACCACATGTTAAAAAAACATCGCTCAGCAGAGCCACAACATTTCCACTTGGATGAATGTGGATTGGAGCTGCCAGACCCATTCGGCTGAGCGCGTTGTGGCTCGTATACGGCTGCGACTTTCAGAAGTTCGGGTGGTTACTCGAGCATGGTATGCAGTTAATGCATTGGAATTGCACGGATGTAAGGGCCTGTGCGGAGGGAAAAGAAAAAAAAGGATGTTATAGAGACAAAGGGGGGGAGTGCCAAAGTAGATGGCGAGGGAGAAACTCAAATAACAACAAGTATAAAATGACGTTTGGCCAAAAGAAGAAGGAGAGGAAGAAGAGAAGGAAAAGGAGAAAGAAGAAGAAGAAGAAGAAGAAGAATAAGAAGAAGAAGACCGAGACAAAGAAAGGCCTGGATTCGCTCGTCTGTCTTCAGCACACATGAAAGAGAAACGATGAAGCAGAACAAGAAGAACAAGAAGCAAAAGCAACAACAGCCGCCGTCGTCGCGACAGCAGCAGAAGCAGCAGCAGCAGCAGCAGCAGCAGAAGAAGAAGAAGAAGAAGAAGAAGAAGAAGAAGAAGAAGAAGAAGAAGAAGAAGAAGAAGAAGAAGAAAGAAGAAACAAGAAGAAAGAAGAAGAAACAAGAAGAAGAAACAAGAAGAAGAAGAAAAAGAAGAAGAAGAAGAAGAAGAAGAAGAAGAAGAAGAAGAAGAAGAAGGGGCATGATTTCACTTCTCTGCCCTCAACGCACATACTAATCACCTTTTTATGCCCTCAACACATACCAATACTAATCACCCTAACTTGATCTTTCAAGTGTTGAAACGATCCTATAAAATATCAACCCGCGGATTCACGATCCTATAAACCGGACAAGGCATTTTCTGGTATCTATTTCCCCTTTTTTTCCCCAAGTTGAACTAGGCCTGTTGGTCATCTTCTGGCATCCTTCCTCCTCATCGTTACAGTCATTTGCATCCATCCATTTGACATTTTCCTTTTTCTTTTGCCCTTTCTTTCTAAAAGATATTTTGCTCATTTTGTCGATGGATTGTTTAACACAATCAACAAAATGACATGCTCATTTAGTAGGACTGCTCACAAGTGTACACACCATCACACCACCCAAGAGATGAAGGGACAAAATTCACTGAGCGACAGAGAGAGCATCAGTTAGCATGAAAGCAAACAACTATGCCACGCAGCAGAAAGGAGAAGATGACACGACAATTCTCCCGAACGCGACCCAGATGGGTCAAAAAAATATTACTCTGAAGTACAGCCCATCTTCAGCTGGCCTTCGTGCAACAGCGACCGATAGAATCCTGACCGTCGTCAGTATTCTGTCTGCCGTCTCAAAAATAGTCAAGCCAGCAATGGCGCGACCCTACATCGCGTCGTTTCGTCTGGTCGCCAGCCGGTACTCGTCAGGGGTCGGAGTCGCAAATTGAGGAGGATTAGAACGTGTCAACTGAAGACTTAAGTAACTCCTCAACCTTCCCGAGACACTTCTAGAAACAGTCCATCCCCGACCTCATATTTCGGAAGAAAATCCAGAGACTTAGCAAACTTATCATACCAAATTCATCTACCCCCTTATCAGGAACCGATTCAAAAACAAAAGAACAAAAAAACAAACGGGCCCGCCCTCTGCAGTCTACCCTACTCCTCGCTACCCGTATCTCTGGTACCCGCCCTTCCCAATCATTAAAACCCGACCCCTCAGTATTACAACCTTCAGGTCCTATTTAAAAAAACAAGGTGCCCCCAAATCATCCTGATCCGGGGCTTACTTCTTCAAGTCAACAGTTTATCATAGCCAATTCATCATCCCAGAAGATCGATTCAGAGATAAAGACAACAGACCTAGTGGGAGTAATGAACACTTCAGAAGACAGAAGTAGAGTTCAGAAGAGAATAGAGTTCCAAGATGAACGGAATCATAGACAAAAGAAGACCAGAAGCAGCCAATGGTTCATCATAGCCAATTCATCACCCAGAAGATCCATTCAAAGGCAAAAGCAGCAGACCTAGTAAGAGTTGATCACTCAGAAAACAGAAGTAGAATTCAGAAGAGGATAGAGTTCCAAAAAGAGTGGGATCATAAACAAGAGAAGGACCAGAAACAGTTCATCAGACAAGAAAAATAGAAAGACATCAGGGACATCATCTTTTCCATTTGTAGGCTCCTCATCCTGTGAAGCACTCGACACAATCTTCCCAAATTCCTTCGAACTTATCCGAAAAGGTCTTTAGTGCCGTATCAAAATAATCGTCCGGAAAACCTCTCATTCGTAGCCCCATCTTCAGCGTGAGCAGAAAGACCGCCTCCGCACCTTTGAATGTAGTGTAGCGTTTTGCCCTATACAAGAAAGAACTGATTACCGCCAGCTTCTGCTGTCTTCCTGAATATGTGCAGAAGTCTTGGAGGTTCTGAAATACCAACAGCCCACCTTTCACCATTGCCTGGTTCTTGTGAGTCGCCACACATACCAGCTCATTCGTCACTTCCTCTGTTCCCACAATACAGCCGAGAAACTCCCAGAATCTTCCCTTGTCCGTCCGCTCCAATGTCAAGTTCTCATGGTAGCAGTCTTCGAAACACAGAATCACTTGCTCAACCCTCAATCTCGAGGTCGCATCCGTTTTCTTGCATCTCACAAAAATGGAGACGTCATCCACAATCCTTGCCCCGTACGTCATAAGTCGCATAGATCCCAGAGAATTCAAAAAGGTAAACTCAGAGTATGCAGTTAGTAAGCAGGCCAACGCAGGGCTAGATGCCTTACCCATCGGAATTCCTATCCGTTGCTTCAACACCACACCACCGACCATTACAAAGGTGCACTCCAGGTCAAACTTCACAAATCGCATCACATCATCAAAACTCACGTCCATCCAACCTATTTGTACATCCCTCATCCTCACCTTCGCCTCCTTTCCCCTATTCTTCAGCATGACACCCTTTGCCCTTTGCAGTAACCAGTAGTCAATTATCCATCCTACTGCATCCAAAACAGCATCGTGCGACAAATTACAAAACATCTCTTTGATGTCAAATGCCGCAGTAACAAATTTCTCACCTGGTAGCAACCCTTTGTTGGCATCTGATATCCTCTTCACCAATTCTTCAGTACTCCTCATATTGAAATTGCTCCCCGATGGCAGATCCCACAACAACTGATTAACCACCCTAGCCACCCGCTTACTGGCCACCACACCCCCTTCATAATACGTTGGGCATATCGGCCGCCATTTTCTGGTATCCTTAAGCTTTAATATTACATAACACATGCCCAACCTCCCTCTCGAATTCCATTTCCCCAAATTCCTCACTCCCAACTCCCCAAACTTTTTCCCATTCTCAAAGTTGACATCATCCTCCTTCTTCAGACATATTTCAAACCCAATAGTTTTCAAAAACATCACCTCCATCCCTTGTCGATACACCACTGGGCAACACACCAATGAGTCCCCAGGATTGTGATCAATTGAACAACACACCAGACTATCGAAACAGGCCTTCCAGATTCTAACCTTGTCAGTATTGCATTCTCCATGCATGTCAGCGTCATTACTCTTAGATCTGTTGAAACAGCCATCCCATTCTTCCCCCTTCATCATTCTCGACAGTTCTTCCCGAAAGACCAAATCAGTCGCTACAAAAGCGCTGAATGCCTCCAGCACCTGTTTGCTGAGAGAGGACATCGTATAACCACGTGAAGGCCTAGGTCTGTTTTTCGCATTTTTCAACCATTGTGGAACAAAGTCAACTTCACTAAGCCTGAAGCATACATGACCATCACGCCTAGGAAATTTCGCATCCATGCTTTCACATGTACATTCCACCTTCTCTTCCTTAGCAGCCCTCCTAAAGTTGTACAACATATCCCCAATACTCGCGTTTGTCCATACGATCCTCATTCGCCTAACCAACATCCATTTTCAACCCTTCGAAATTCTCAATGCACCTACCATTGATGCACACATCCTTCGAATCCCAGCCTTGCTAAGACACTCATCAAAAGTAACTTTCACAACCAATCTCTCCCGAATATTCACCCCAAACCTTCTTTGAATCACACCCGATAAAAGACACCTCAGAGTAAATCTCGTCCACTTTTCCGAAAAAGGACGTACAACACCAAATGCGTAAACAAGCCTTTTGAAATCCCAGGAATACATATCTTTTCTTGACGGCGGATAACTTAACAGTCTGGTCAGGACCGGTTTGAAAACAGACAGTGAGGAGCAAAACGATATAATAGACACAAATTCTATTGTTATCCCCACCGCAAGCCATTCCCTCGCTTTTTTCAATTGCCTCGTACCATACTGTGTGCGGACAACAGACGAACCAAAGCACCTCTTAATCAGTTTCCATTGATTCACCAATCGACTTCCCCCACAACATTCAATGTTCACCTTCCCTATCCCTTTCTCCCGACACTCGTTCAAAATCGTAATTAGACTAGCCGAAGCCGATACTCCGTCTGGTTTAAAAGACAGGTGCATGCGTTGCCCGTCCGTGATTTTGTTTACCACATGATGCACCGCCCGCCTTCTCCTTTCCCTTTTTCCAGCTCTTCGCCGCTTATGCTTCGCCGATTTCTCTCGACTGTTCAGATACGGGTTCGTAAGCCAAATCACAAATCTCTCAATCTCAAATAAATCCTTCTCCATACACTGAACGATTGGTAACATCACGTATTGCTGTAGCCCACACCTCCGCAGCCATCTGTAGAGCCTCTGATTCCTTCGTCCTGATTCTACCACGTTCTGATTACTAACCCGAAAGGCATGCTCCTTCCATCTCGTCTCTAAACATCTCGTCGTCGCCCCCACATATAGATGCTTATTCCACGGTGAGATAATCACATAAACCACAGGTCCGTCACATTCGACCAAATCAACATGATCTTGGTCAATCTTCTTCAGATAGTCAGTGAACTTATTAGCCCACGTAATTTCGCCTTGTAGGATCAACGACAGCACTGCACGCTGATACACACCCTCCTTTCTCTTTCTTCTAACCACGTCAGGTAGCCCAGTTCTTAGCTCATTCAATATCCTCCAACACTTAACCGCGTTCGGGACGCCCCCCTAAGCCGAGTCCGAGGGAACATCTTCCACTTCCGGAGCAACCTCATCACCCCCCTGGCTCGATGACGCTTCCTTCCTTTTTTCCACATCCGCCCTGTCATCAACACCATTACCTATCCTGCCAAAACATGCGTCAACTCTGATCTCCGTCAATTCCTCTGTTGTGGTTTCTACCGTCTTGTAGGTGATGCCTTCCTGCCGACAGATAGCCTCAAGCCCCGATTTCTTCAGGGCACGCAACTTCTTACTCTCTTCCCGTATGAACACAAAACGATCATTGACCTTCTCCATCTCGCCTTCCTTCCTGGATGTCTTCGTCGGAGTTATTCTTGGCCTCCCTCGCTTCACAGTCTTCATACCACTGGCAGCAGCTTCCTCCAGTCGTCCCTTCAAGTTGGTCCCACCACTCGGCACTACCGCAGCCTCAACCGATAGCCTCTCCATACGTTCCCGTAGCCTGGTAATCTCCGCCTCCGCTTCCAACTTCCTTGCTTCAGCTAACACCTTCTCGACCTCCACATTCGTTCTCTTCTTTTTCAGTTCCTCCACCTCTCTTAGCGTACAATACTCCTTCTCTTTCGTCATTCTGATCTCTTCTCTCAGGTCCTTCTCTGGTGTTGCCATAACGCGTTACCTCGTCTTTTCCCGAGCACTGTACTCCGGAGTTATTATAGTTATCGTCCCTCTCTTGTTGCCCGGTCTGAGAGCCTCGTTCATCCATAACTGTGTTTCTTCCATCGACTTTTGTTTCTCTTTTCGCAGCACGTCCACCTGAGCCTTCAATCCAGTCAATATCTCCGGATCCATCTCCCTACTCATCCTCAATTCCTGCATCTCTTTCAAAAGCCGGCCCATGCTATCCTCAATCGGATCTCGAGCGACATTCATCTTTCTCCTGAGTTCCTTATTCTCCTTCAATAGCCGATCTACCAAGTTTTCGCTGCTTTCGTTCGTCAGCTTCTTCCTATATTCCTCATTCTCTCTTCTGAGCCTATATAGCTGCTCGCTTTCCTTACCCTTCTCACTACTCTCCCCAACCGTCATAACCACCTGCTTCCCACCTCCTGTCGTGGTGTTTATCGCAGCAAACTTACTATCGATCTTTTCCCCAATACGTCTTTCAAACTCCTCCCTCTCCCGTTGCTCTTCCAACAAAAAGAATGCAGCTTCGGAACATGCAGAATTTTTGTATGATTTGTAGTACATTCAGCTGTTGAAAATCAGGTTCCCTACACAATTTTTGAGGGTATCCTGTTGAACACATGGGATCCCAATGAAATCTTCCTTTTGAATACACTGGTCATACGGGACAATATCATTCCAGTGACGGACCAACAATTTGTAATCAGTTGAAGTTATGTTGAAAATGTGTATAAAAACAGCCTAATCAGTTGAAGTTATGTTGAAAATTTGTATAAAAACAACCTCTCCTGTTTAAAAATTGTTGAAAGTCTGTTTACAAACAGTTTACCAACACCGTTCAAAAATTAAAAAAAAAAATTATTCGTCCGCTACGAATAGTCATCACTCTTTATTACAACAAAACTGACACAATATTGTACCGAGAGGACTCCGTTTTGGTTGCTGCTCACTTTCGAAAATTTAGCGGTGAAAAAAAAAAATTACATTGTATTTTGTAGTCTACGTATGTTATGGCATGTGTGGGTTTCCCCGTGTCCAAGGAACAGGGATGATACAGGGATGATGTCGTCGCCAAGTGTGTGTCAACATACTTTAAACAAAGAGATTGTCAAAGCAACACATGACTTTCACTGATTCTGATAATAATGTTCCGCAACTACATAACTTTAATTATTTTTGTCTTCAATGCTACGTTGGTCGGCAGGTGCGTATTCATTTTCAATATGACTGCAATATTGTATGATATTACAACGCATCTGCCGACTACGACGTGTCAAAGGAGTATACATTGCGAACGGACATGCAGTGTCCGTGGAATATAAGATGATTACTCAGAATCCTTCGTACACTGTTTCACACTCCTTTAGTCATTAAATTGTATTTAAATCAAGAAATTAAGGTGCGATTGTTGTCCGGTGCATTTAATGAAATGTTTTTGTCTTTTGCAATACATTGTAATTCACAGACAYCCTTTACCACAAAGAACAAGGAAGCGGTTGTGAGAGGGTCACATGCAGTGTCACATGTTACTTGTACGTGTTCAACGTGCAGTGCCATATGTTGAAAAGAGCTGCAGACATCATATTCTCTCAATTTGTATCATCTTTTTAAAGTTTATGTGTATCCAATGTTTTTGAGTATATGTGTATATGAGTATGTGTGTGTGTGTGTGTGTGTATTTTTGTTGGAAAGGGGCAAACCACGAAGAGAGAGAGAGAGAGAGAGAGAGAGAGAGAGAGAACACTCGTCTGTCAAACGAACAATATAATCCATCATCTATCAGTTGCAGCCAGGGTTGTCGAACCCCGGCCCCGGGACCCCGCCGGGGTTCCAGGGTTCCAGGGGTCGGCACCCGGGACCCCGGCCCCCTGTAGGGGGAAAAAAAAAAAAAAAAAAAAATTC